GAGGTTTTGTGCAGGGATTTTTCCGATATGATGCAAAGTGAATTTGAAATGTCGATGATGGGAGAATTAAAGTTCTTCCTTGGGCTGCAAATTAGACAATGCAAAGAAGGAACATTCGTGTGTCAAACGAAATATTGCAGGGAATTGCTTAAAAGATTCGATGTTACCGAATCCAAATCCATTGACACACCAATGAGCACATCTTGCTATCTCGACAAGGACGAAAAAGGTAAAGAGGTAGACATCAAACGCTATCGAGGTATGATCGGCTCTTTACTTTATCTTACCGCGAGTAGACCGGATATCATGTACTTTGTTTGTATATGCGCTAGATATCAATCATGTCCTAAAGAGTCGCACTTGGTTGCGATCAAAATGATAATGCGATATCTCGCGGGCACGTTGAACGTAGGTCTTTGGTATCCCAAAGGTTCGACATGTCATCTTGTTGGCTATTCCGACTCGGATTGTGCAGGTTGCAAACTCGATAGGAAAAGTACCAGCGGTACTTGCCACTTATTCGGTCATTCGTTAATCTCGTGGTTTAGTAAGAAGCAGGTTAGTGTTGCACTCTCCACCACCGAAGCGGAATATGTCGCTGCGGGAAGTTGTTGTGCCCAAATTCTTTGGCTAAAACAGCAATTAGTGGATTTCGGCCTTATACTTGATCACATCCCAATTAGGTGTGACAATATGAGTGCTATTAGTCTAACGAAGAACCCCGTTCTTCACTCGCGGACTAAACACATAGAAATTAGGAATCACTTCATATGAGATCATGTCCAAAAGGGAGATGTCACAATTGAGTTTGTTGAAACGAAACATCAATTGGCGGACATTTTCACGAAACCCCTTAGTAGGGAGAGTTTCTTCCACATTCGGAACGAACTTGGCATTTTGGATATCTCTATGAATTAATTCATTCTTTTTATTGATGGTACTAATTTGAGCGTCGGAGGCGCAATAATTCTTTTTTGCAGGGTATATTTTCAGTGTTTCAGGGCAGTTTTCGAAACTGGAATAGAGGGGATCGATCTCCATAATTGGATCGATCACCCAAACCGAAGCTTTTTCAAATTAAACTTCGGCGGATCGATCCCGGATATAGGATCGATCCATTGGGCCTTTCTCTTTCACAGGTTTTCTTCGGCAGATCGATCCACCCAATGGACCGATCACTTGGGCGAAATAATCAAATCTGTATTCAGCCCAACGTCAGGAGGACCAATCCAGGCTTATGGATCGATCCATGGTTTTATTTGGTTCCAGGATCTGTTTCGGCGGATCGATCCAAGCATAGGGATCGATCACCTGGACTTAAACGGAGCAGGTACTCTTTTACAGAGGATCGATCTCCTTGGATGGATCGATCACTCTGACTTACGGTATATATACTCTCCCTTCTTCATTCTTCCCATTTTCCATCATCTGCTCTGTCTCTCTCTATCGGCGACCAGCTTCAACGATTCCCAGGTTCGATTTCTTCGCCTCTTCTCTTCAATTTCTTGCAAATTACTTGTTAATTGTTGTAAATTGATGATTATTGTTACTTTTTTGATCGCTTTCTTGAGATTAAGTGCTTTTTCCTTTCTCTCTTAGGGTTTCTCATTCTTCTCGTGCTCAAACCCTAGGCACCATGTCGGATCGTCGAGGAAGTAAACGTTTGCGCACAAAATCTCATGAAGGTGAATCATCTACCCAAGAGGAACGATTTGTCTCTTCATTTGTCTTTCCGAGAGGTGATTCTAAACGCCTCTTCTATAATGACTTCTTGAATCGTCCTATTTTGACACCCAAATGCGTTCTTCATACCGTATTTTGTCATATACCTTTCCAAGATGCCACAATTTTTATTGATAGACTTGGTGTTACTTCTTTTGTTCGTGAGAATTTTCCTGTGTATTGTCCGAATCTAATTCGGTTGTTTTATACAAATCTCACTTTCAACGGACGGGTCCTCAAAACCTCCGTTAATGGCACCAACATTGAGATGACTCTCAAAGATATCGGTGAACTTTTCAAATTCTCTTTTGAGGGATGTGATTTCCACAAGTTCACATCTAAGGATTTCAAAACTTTCTCTTCTTACGACACCATTACCGAGGTGTGCCTTGAAGAAATTCTTGGGCGAGAACGCCTAACCGTTGGAGGTCTTAAGCCTCACTTTCGAATTCTTCATTACTTCATTTCGAAAGTATTAGCTCCTCGTAAGTCGAGCCATTCCAAAATACTTATTTCGGACACTCGTCTTCTCTTCGTGTTTTTGAACGATATCAAAATCAATTGGGCAAAATTCTTTTGCAATAACCTTATTCTCATGAAGACAAAAGGGTCCCTTGGGTATGTGTTCCCGATCATGAACATTTTGAAAGCTTTTGGAGTGCCTTTAAAAGACATCCACGTCCAAAAGAACCACACGTGGTACATCGATGTCGCAGCCTTCAACCGCTCTAATGTACCAAGGGCCGTGCAAGAAGAAGGAGGAGAAGAAGGAGGAAAAGAAAGAGAAGAAGAGGGTGAAGAAGAACATGACCCGGAGGGCGAACCGGCGAATGTCCAAGAAGTCGCTCAAGTGGAATCGACTCGGCGTTCCTCTCCTACTCGGGTGTCACGCTCTACTTCATCGCGTCGCGCTGATCGTTCGATCCTTCAACGGATTTTAGATGCCGTGACTTGCACTCGCACGGATGTGGCGCATACTCGTATGGAAGTAACCATGCAAGGCCATCGTCTCTCACGACTTGAGCAGCGGATGACGGAGATAGAGCGACGCCCATATTTCGGACCGCGTCACAGTTACAGTGGTGGATCCCGGCCGTCGAGCTCACTTTGACTTCTCTCTCTCTCTTTCTCTTTATGTGATGACTTATGATACTTTGTTAAATGTTATTATTTTATAACTCTTTTGGTGGATGATGATGTTCTTTTGAATGATGCTAGTTATTGTTGTTAATTGTTGATGTTAATTATGATTGTGTATTAATATCTTTGTTGGTTTGGCAATATTGCTCTTGTTTAGAACATGTTGTCCCTTTGTGGCATTTTTTTAAAAAGAAAACTCTTGCTATTTTTTTTACTATCCTTCAAAATTCCGGTATCAATTAAGGGGGAAGGTTATCGGTTGATAATGCCAAAAGGGGGAAGGAAGGATAGTTGAAAAAAAAACTTGGTTTTCAAAATTGTTTTTCCGCTTATTACTCCGATTATTTTTACTGCACTTCTCTAACCTTGCAGGGGGAATCAATTAAGGTAAGTATTTCTTGAATTCTACTTTGCTTTTTCTCAACTATGTTTGTCATTATCAAAAAGGGGGAAATTGTTGGACATGAGTTCAAACCCCTTTATTATTTTCTGGAATATTTTTTGTTTTGATGAATGACAAACAGGATGATTAAATTCAATCGATATTCGAAAATTTATTTTTCGTATCGAGAAAAGCAAAGAAGGTTATCAAGAAGTTTACGGCGATAAACTTCAACGCTCACCCCTACGCAAATTTTTGAAGAGAAGTGAAGACTCCGAAGACTTTTTATTTTTATTGAGTCTAGGAATTCTTGTAAGGATGACAATAATTTTTGCACAAACAAATTAATTTTGAGGGATAAAAATTATTATTTCTTGAGTCAGTTGAAATATTATTTTTTCTCTGTCTAAAAATATTCTTTTGAGTTAGTTTCAAAATAGTGTGTCAAAATTTTTTTTTAATATTATTTAAGGATACACAAATTTTTTGTGGTAAGAAAAATGTACTTTAAAGAATTTTTTTTGTACATCGTTTGACACACAAAATATTTTTGGGACTCAATTTCTACACCAAAATTCAAATATTTAATTCAAATTTTGAATTTGAATTAATTCCTTCAACCTATTTGATTTGTTTGTTTATGGGAGCCTTATCACACTCAATTTGTTGTCTAAAACAAAGCATTAAGCTCCAATTTGTACATCCCACTCGCACACATGTCTTGGATCCTCATGTTTGAGGATTGTTCGTCAGTGGATCGATCCATTTGTTAGGATCGATCACCGCGGTTTGTGCTCAGGGATTTGGATCGATCCATTTCCCTTGATCGATCCCCCGAAGGCTTGCGAAAATTCTCTTCTGGATTTTTTGTTCCTTTGGATCAATCCTTTTACTTGGATCGATCCCCTGAAGTTTTGACAGAAATTATTTTTCGATCCATTACTCCAGGTGATCGATCCTCTTCCTTGGATCGATCCCCAATGGCTCTTTTCTGTCAACTTCAGCCTTCCCTACTTCCATCGGATTTATTTCTTTTTCCCCTATAAAAACACTCATCCTCCCTCATTTAAAACACATATCTTGCACTCCAATATCTTCATTGATCAATATTCAATTCTTGCTTCCATCTTCCTCATCAAATATATTATTTTGAGAGTTAGAAATATTTTATTGAGTGCTAAAGATTTTGTCATCCATAGAGCTTTAATTCTTCAACACTACTTTGCTCAATTGTGTGAGCTTTCATTCTTGTGTTGTAAACTCAATCTCATTTGAGTGTTGTTTTTAAGACTTGTGTGACTCAAGTCTTGTTGTTGTAAGAAAGTGAGGCTTGTGTGATTCAAGTTCTCAAGTTGTACCGGTTTTTCAAGCACCCGTTGAAGCTTGAAGATTAGTAGGACTTTCGAGAGAGTGTCTCGGAGGACTGGACTAGCCACGAGGTGGTGAACCAGTATAAATCTCGGTGTTCTTCTTTCCCTTACTCTTTTTTATTTATTCCTGCGATTTTATTATTTCACACACGCAAAAAACGCACATTCTTGAAAACAACTCTATTCACCCCCCCTCTAGAGTTGCACATTTGTCTAACACACATGAGAGAAGATCGTCTACATGCAACTAATTCAGGAATAGAAAATCAGGCATGTGGACTATCTGTTACAGGGTAAGGGACAGATGCTAGAAAAAGTGACCAACGCTAGAGGGGGGGTGAATAGCGTTTGATCGTAGAAATCGCAGGAATAAAAAATTAAGAACGTGAAACGTAAAGAGCGTAGAACGCGTAAAGGGAGCACACCAAGATTTATACTGGTTCACCACAACGTGTGGCTAATCCAGTCTCCCGAGAGACTCTCTCGAGCTACACTACTTCCGTTAAGCTTACGGGTGCTTAACAAACCGTTACAACCTGAGAACTCGAGTCCCACGAGCCTCAACAACACTTGCTCGGAGATACCGCACTCCAACGGTCAGGTCTCTACATCGATGTTCTATACTAGAACATCGCTGTTTAGGTCTGCCTTTGGAGATGGAAGTTTGGCCTGACAGCGCTGTTGCTGGGTCAACATCGCTGTCCAAAAACTTTCTGCCAATGCATTTAATTTTTGGCTTAGGTTGGACAGCGCTGTAGGGGAGCCTACATCGCTGTTCCAGAAGTTTCTGGAAATCCAACCTTGGCTCAACAGCGATGTCTAACATCCAACATCGCTGTTGGAAGACTTAACGCCAAACCATGGTTTTCAGCCACCCAAGCCAGACAGCGCTGTTGGTTTCACCAACATCGCTGTTGGGCTGGTTTAGCCAGACCCATGGTTGGTTTAGTCAGCCGTTAGCCG